ACATAAAGTTTCTATTTAAATTCACTCAGTACCACATTAAGGTAACTTTTTTTCTGGTGATACACAACTGGCTAACTGTGCCTCTGCTACCAGGGCAGCATGAAAGGGGGGTGTCCAGAAGCTTACACATTGCAAGTGAGGACACACACAGGGGCTTGCCAGAAAAAAACAAACAAGCAAACAAAAAAAACCCCAACCCAGTTTTCTAAATAAAGAACAGTCAGGAAAATAAAAGTTCCATGCCATCAGGAAAAAACAGTGTGGATTGTGCTGGGAGACCGGAAAAAAAAAAAGAAAATTGTAGTCGGCATAAACACTCGCCCAAAGAATAAAAGAAAGAACCAGCCCAGTCACCTGCAGAAGTTATTCTGATCACTCTCTATGCCTGCAGAAAAGAAACGAAGAAGAGGTAAGAACATAAGGGTGCCATTTTTGGTTGTTTGTCGATGTTTTTTTAACATTTTGGATGACGTGGCTAATGCCTGAGATTATCTCGTACTGCATTTTTTCCTCTGAATATACATTGCCTATGGATATATCAGAAAAACAATAATGAAACTATGACTGACTTACCTGCTGGGGGAACGCTAATGAGTGTTCTAGTAATGGAAACGGCTTCACTGGCTGGTAAAATGCAAAACAGCAGGAAACTCACTGGAGACCCCACAAGCACATGTCAATAAGTCGTATTATTCACGAGCACACAAGCATCCCAAGACACCAGTTTCCCAGCCTCCTTTCATTTCCTGACTGCTCCTGACTGCCTCATGTTTTGAGCAAAGTCAAAGACTAATTTTCTATCTTCCTTGAGCCTCTAAAGTTTTTGCAGAAGCCCAATGATCATACAAAAAACCTTTCCATTCAGATGCAGACTGAACATTTTATCAACTAATACTTTGTATTATCCAACCTACAAGTACTACAAAGTGTGATAGCAATACAGGACAATTGTATCCATGACCACAAACATCTGAAGGTAAATAGCATTTTACTCGAGTGCTCTAGCAGTGCACTCAGGCACAGCTCTGACACAATATGCTCTCATTCATAAGGTGGCTGTTCTCTGTTTCTCTCCTTTGCATCAATCCTGACAATATTAACATCTGAAACGATCTCTGCCCAGTCTCGTTTCAACACTTCCAGTGTACATGGCCAAGCTCTGCAGTGTGTTAAAATAGAAGGTGCTAATCCCCACCAAAGGTGATCGTTCAGCCAAAATTCAGATCAAAGGGTTCGGACTTTAACAAAAAAAACCACATTAGAATACAAGTCCAGGCATTTGCTGTCATAACAAGATTGCGATGATTGTATTTAATGTCCCCCTTCATTATAAATCCATTTGGCATCCTTTCTAATAGCCAGCCTGCCCTCAGAAAAAAATTATCTGATGTTCTGTGGATGTCATATGTGCTCTGTGCTTTTACAGTACTTCTATTGTAATTCAGCATTAATTATCTTTCAAATTAATGTACTGCATAATGCTGCAATATGAAATGCTTGCATTTTGTAAATGAGAAAATTGAGCTCAGTTCTGTCTGCTTTGATTCCATTTTACTTTTACTATAATTCACTACCAGAATTCTTTTCCTTTTTGGTTGGGTTATTGACACTCCAAACACACACAAGGGAGCCATCTTTTGCATACAAAAGATACATTTATGCTTCTCTTTTCCAAGAAGACCTCCAATTTCTCTTTTTCAATATCATTTTAATATACTTTCCTGCCTTATGATTGTTTCTGAACAGCTCATAAGGGAAATGGAGGTGACAAAAGTACTAATAGAGAAACATTTACCAGTTACTATAAATGTAGACATCATAAATACGTACAACTGCTGGAAAATGGTAAGTGTGAAGTAGGTCACCGATACAGAAAAAAACGAAATCAAAACTGTGGTTAGGGCATGAAAAAAAACTTTTCTTTAAAAATTGAATGATCCAACATATTCCTTAAACATTTTGTGTCAAAAATACCATTTAAAGTTTTACTGCTGAGCACCGTAATAAAAAGAAAAGTAATATATAATGTATAAAATATAGAAATGGAAAATATATATCCAAAATTGCTCCCTATATGTATGGCTGAAAGAATATATGACTGGTGATTTTCCACAATGAGTAGTTCAATTTTTCTGTTGGGTTTGCATCTATTGTTTAGTTTAGCTGCTGTCAATAACAGAAATCATTGTGGGCTACTGGATTTGACCTTCAATGCCACCATCTCAAAGCACTTCACAGTGCTTTTCCATCCTGAATGTCCTTGAGGAAGGTACAAATTCTCCCTTTCGCCAATGAAATTATGTTTAGCTTTCTTCACTGTTACCCCACCACATAATTTTTAACAGAACCAAACCTACAACACACAGAAAGCTGCAAAAAAATCCATCACCCCTCACACTCACTAGTCTTGTACTCAATGTTCTTTAATGCTCATCATTAGCTGCCAATTACTGAGTATGTGAATATGTGCTGAGAAGAATGTGCAGATCAATCTGAAGGAATTTAGCAATGTCACCTATAAAATATTCCCTCAGATAGCTAAATAACCTCAGCTTAAATAACCTTGCTGGTCAAAAGGTGTAAAAATTTAAGAGTAGCCCGTTTAGAATTTTGAGACAGGATTTCCTCTTGAACTGACCTGGAATACTTCATTCTAATCTTAAACTGAGAAATACGGTGGTTTAAGTGGACAGGCTGGCTATTACTGATCTATCAGTAATTCAGGCAACCTACTTTAATAGGAAGTAGTGCTCCTGTTTCAACATTATCCTCAACCAAAGCCTTCTGAACTTCCTTTTATTAATTGCTTAGCAATGATCTTGACCTACTGCTGCAGCAGGTACAGCCGAGGTGAATACCCAAGGAATGCTGCTGCTTTTTCCAGTGCCTGTATAAAGCTTACAGGGAACCTCACATTTGTTTGAGATGGCTCTAGCAACCTGGATTTTTCATTTGCTTGGTATTAACCCACTTCATCCTGATACAGTTTGGTTTTGTGCGTTGTATTTTGCTCTGCAATCTCCACTGGTACCCCACTTTTGGTTTACTTATGTTAAATGGTCATTATTACAGCTGTTAATTTTGAAAGCAAATTCACATCTATATTGATCCATTCTTCCCATCACGGGAATGTCAGTCTCTGGGACACTGGCATCTTAGCTGGTTAACCTAAAGGACCAACAGCTGGAGGTTTTTTGCTCAGTCAGTGAGCTGTATGCAGTTTTCATTGCTGCAGCAAACACAGCTAGAACACGAGAAGAAAATTAAAGGGGAATATGCCAGGAAAGACAAATAACCAAGATTTTGTGGACATCAGACAATAAAATGACAAGACATTCCTAACTATGCATTGAAGTTAATTTGTCTTAATCATTCCTCTGTCACTGGCAGATCTTTAGAAAGGGATTCTCATCAGCACTGAATGACTTTGTTGTGTTTACCACCAGTTAACAAAGCTGTAGCAGAAGGTCTCACAGAGACCATCTGTCAACACCTCAAGTACCCAATACTTGAGTTTTCAGCCCGGCAAAGGCATATTCTTTACCCAAAGTATCTGTAACAAACACTCCTTCTGCCAAGTCATTTACCACACTTAAGACAATTCTTTCCCAGACAGAAGCTGACAAACTGTGAGGAGGAAGACTATAACCTCCCCTACTGAGTAGATTAGCAACTGTGTGCCCATTACCTGCATATTCCTTCTCAGAGTATTTTTTCCCTTGTATTCCTTCTCTTTGGATATAAACAAATGCCTCTGATGGGGAAAACAACCGGCTGTCAAAGACTGGTGTTTAACCAACTTCCCAAGGGAAAACTACAGCCTAAAAAGGCAGCCCGTTATGAGACCATTTGATGTTCAATCACCTTGCACTCCAATCTTCTGGTGCCAAAGAAGAGTCATCATTCTGTTCTGGACAGTGATGCTTCAAAGCTCTCAGATATCCAGAACAAACCCACATCCTGGCTCTGAGATTGTATATACTACTGTTAGGCATAAAGTAACCCAGGCAAACCCAAACAACACAGGCAAAGGCTCCTTTTCCAGACTTACGCAAGTAGCACACTTTCTTCTCTCATGTCTAAGAAGTTCCTTTCTCCTAACAAGTCAACCAGATGGTTACCAACCCCGCTGCCTTGATACCATAAAGAAGTGACTTCCTCCCATTCCTGCCCAGCCAGGAGCTTCTTCATGTGCTTCTTCAACATCCAAAGCAGGGTGGGTGCTCAGGAGTCCAAACAATCACATGGACAAAACCCGGTGTTCTCAACATATGTTTCCAATTTCCCCCATAAGTAACCCTGTGTTGGGGTTAAGCAACAAAGCAAGCCACCATCAGGAGGTGGAACTCCAACCTCCATGAGCAAGTTCTGCCCAAAGCAATCCCTTCAACTGCTCAGGCTGAGATCTCACACTACCAAAGGGAAAAATATTACTGCTGAAAGAGGGAGAAATTTTCCATCACTGAGTCCCTTTACTTTTTTCACACATATATCAGCACATGGAAAGTGGTGAAAGACAACTACAAGAAGACTTTTTGAAATTTCATTTTACACCATGAACTTAGATATTAAAATTATATATTAATATTATGAATTTAGAAATTAAGAATGAAAATGACACTTCCTGATAGTTTAAAAAAATCTCTTGGAAAATCACTTCCAACGTATCCAATACATTTCCAGTGATTTCAGCAGGTTTAACTGCTGTATATGTATTTCATACAGAATTCTACCAGGTAACATGAAATCACAGCTAAAAGTCAGTGTTAAAAAATCAAGTGAGACCAAAGAACTACAGTTCGTTTAAGAGAATCCAGTGAAGTCAATGATACTAACTGCACAAGCAAGGATCACTCATGTAAGTTAAGACAGCAAAAACAGGTTTGCAAACTGCATGGATTTTCAAAATTTTTAAATCAGATATTGTCCTGGTCTCTGTTTTGTTTCACAAAAGTGAATGAAAAGCAGCCTGGACACGAGTTGTTTTCTCTAAAGGAGGTTCAGGCCTTGCAGTACACATCATATTTTAACTTCGCTCCCAGCTTAGTTCCTTCTAAGCACATTTTGAATTTGGCATCCATTTCCTGGTTCTGAGCTTCAGTGAAAAGATTTTTCCAGTCTCCAACAACACCTGGAATATAAAGAAAAGTAAAATATTACCCTTGACTGTATGGACCAAGGAGTATGATTTAAAATAAAAAACTACCTTGTCTCTCTTATTATCATATTTCAGGATAACCTTTTTTTTTTTTTTCTTTTTTTTCTGCAAGAAAAGAATCTCTGACCCAAGAATACAGTCTCACGTTTGCCTTATGCTTGGTGTCCTCAATAGAAAGTGAATATAAAGCAAATATAGGAAGCTATCAGTCTGCCTTCATAGCTTTGGCATGTATCTTGTACAGCTGCAGAGGACTATAAAGACGATCAGCAGTTATGAAACCAACCCAGAAAGTTCAAGGATGTCGCTTTTAACTGCAAGAGCTTTGTGCACTGCACCCAGACGGTGCCCTAAGCTGCAGTCCACCTTTAATCTAGATTTTGGCATAACAAAGGTTATTTAGAAAACCTAAGAAAAAAATCTGTGGAGAGACTCTGTAGATCGAGTGCCAGGCTATTCCCAGTACTCACAGAAGCAAAAATAAAGCTCTACTTTGTTTTGATTGGTGCTCACTCCATACCACAACTGAAAGGTGTGCTTCTTGTAGAGGGCACTAATCACATTATACGGGTCTTTATCAAATGGTACTGGCCCCTGTGATGAAATCAAGTGACAGCATCCTGAAGCACAGTCAGTGTTTCTTAGACAACTCCCAACCTTGAAAATCATACATAAAGATTAACAATTTACTGATCCAAATTCCTGTCTGCCCAAGATGCAGTGCTACCACTCACCACTCTGGCAAAATACAAACAAATTTACCTTTGCGGAAAAGAATTGAGCCAACAGCACCATGAGTCTCCTGAGCCTTATCCTTCATTGCCTGGAAAGTGGCTCTGTCTGCAATGGATTGGATCTGCTCTGCCGTTGGGGAGAATCCAAAAAATTCAGCTATCTGCTTTACACTGGCAGTCAGGTTCTGAAAGCAATACAGTGAAAGGGAGATATGCAATATGCTTCCTCTAAAAAAGGAGTTACCCACTTGGGATGTGCATTGCCAACATCTATTAACAACATATATTTTCCTTCACAGTACGTTTTCTGTGTTACTCTGGAGCTCAGCTTTTGTAGAGCCAGACTCAACTTGTTGCTAAAATCAACTTGATTTTGCTCTTTCAGAAACCTGTGCCTTTTGTTGTTAACTTCAGCAGATTTCAAGGAACAGGCTCAGATGTGTTTTGCTTGTCTGTACACAGCATCTGCTTTACCTCTTTCAGGTCTTCATACATGATGATCATTGTATTCTCATCCTCAATGTGTTTGTTCCAGGTGACTGCATGATCAAAATAGGATCCCCAGACGACTGTAAAGAAGTGAAAAAAGCAACCGTGTGACCTTCTTTTCTCACCGGGTACTTATTTCTCTCTGACTGAAGACTTGCCTTCTGTTGCCTATCAGTTACACCAATGCAAACAAATGGAACAGCCTGTTCTTTCTGTGGTACAGTGCTGTACACCAGAAAGACAGAAGCTTCCTCTGGACTTTTGTAGGTAGATGATTTCTTCACAGAAATATAAATTTCACTATGTGCTTTCCCTCTGTTACTGCATTTTCATTTAAACATCTCTTAAAAGCCAAGGCCAGACATCAGTTTAAATCTAAAATCTGGGTTGCTAAGGAGGTGTTTGGCCTCATGTTCAGAAACAGTAAAGACAACAAACTGTCATTTCATTAACACTTCAGACCTATAGCATTTCCTCCATCACTAAGTGGCAGAATGAGGTCTCAATGCCATTGCCAAGCTGCCATGCAACTCCCTCACCCTTGCTTGGAAGAACAAAATACTCAGAAGCGAAGTCTCTTTTGGACATTCTCCCCATTCTGGCATTCAGCTGTCTCCTTTATCATGACGTATGGCCATCAGTAAACTAATCATGACACAGCTGTTCTCCCACTGGCCCCATTTAGTTGTTTTTAAATATTTTTTTTCTGTTGCTTCTTCAGCTACATTCAATAAGTATAACAATACCTTTCCCATTCATGAACTCTGAGAAGAACTCATCCCAGGAGCTGTAACTGGGGACACTTGGCACATTGTTGTGGAAATGGAAAAATGAAACAGCTGTATCTTTAGGGTTTCGAAACAGCACTAGTATCTAGAGTGGAACAAAGAGGTCAACAATTTTAGATCACTTATTTCCCCCGGCAACCAAAATGAGAGTATAACCAAACATTCTGCAATCAATAACATACTGGAGGCTACAAAATATTTTATTAGTTAAGGCATGGAGAGCAAATTTAGAACATGCTCATATTAAAAGACATTGTTACCACTTCTAAGATTTGCTTATGTCATGAAGCAATTAGAGAAAGAAACAACTGGAAAAACTGTAATATTGTCACTGACTACTATCTCATAAATACTTAAGACCTGGGAAATTGTAAGGAACCATTTGCCAACCCCCTGCTAGGAAAAGCTCTGTTCGATTCTCCTTCAGGAAATCACAGCTGTTACAATCATCTCCCATTTTTCAAAGCATGGCAATTATGTTCTTGAAATCCTAAGAGACTGTAATCCTCAAAGAAGCATAAACACTTCTGAGAACATGTTATACACACTAAATATTTTTGTTATACACATTATGTTTCTTGCTGTATGAGACATGGAAAAAATTCCCATCTCTTAAATAATTATTTCCTTCATCTGTGGTACATCTCCTAAGTGCTATGTATCTGCCATTGTTCAGCGATCAAGTACCAGACATACTAAAGTTTTAAGAGTGTGATTCTTTCCAAGGAGACAGCCAATGTCCCAGAGGTACTGCTGCCACATTTGTTCCCACCACAGTCATGCACAGAAAAAAGCAGCATAAAAGAGGAAAGTGTTGCACTCCAGACATTTCTGAGCACTGCAACAGCCTCTAGATCTGTTCTTGTTTATGTCAACTACAGCACCCTTAAGGCAGGGGGTGCTAAATTGCAGGGGGTGCTAAGCCAGCTCATGCGTCATGAGATCCCCACTGTCTCCAAGTTCCTTTCTCCCAGTGCCACCTGCTTGGGCACAAGAAGAGGATGTGGCCCTAAAATTATTCTTGCATGTTGGTACTGTCAGAGAGATAAGGCTTGCTCTTGGAAAAAGAAAAAAGCCCACCTTGGCTTTGTTCTTGAAAATAGACTTGGGGAGGCAATCATAATTCAGATGTGTTGCCAAAATCCTTGGAGACGGAATCTGCTTCATCCTCTTTAGAAATAAACAGAAGCATAAGTGAGAACAGGTTTATCACATGGGTGCAGCAATGATCTGTGAGAGTCACCTGTGTGAAACCACCCAATCAAAAGGCATCAGTCATCCAAGATTATCTTTCTTCCCCTCTCAGGAGATATATCTTTACTTGCTGCATGACTTCATTTTAATAAGTTGTGTGCAGGGGTGCCAGCGAGACAAAAAAAATACAAACTTTAAGTGGTTCAATACGTGCTTTTCACTAACCTGATATTTATCTGGATCTCCACATTCAATAAATGGTAGTTCTGCGCTTACAGGTTTACTCTGGATAGTTGTAAATATCAAATCACTTAAAATCTGGATAAGCCAGTTCACACCTGCACCAAGAAACCCAGAGAAGAAAATAAAACATATCAAAGGTTTATATAAGATCTCAGATCCTTCTCATTATATGGCTTAATTCAGCATAATAGACAGTCATCAAATGACAACTAACACTAAAGCTCTCAAATGATTATAAACAAAATAATGTTTTCTGTTAATGAGATCCTCAACAGCTTCTTAACTGTGACCTTGGCTCACTTGTAACTGGTATGCGGAAAGTACTGGGGGCAGAACTGACTCAACAATGCACTTAACATCTTTTTAATATACTCATAAAATAGTAACAGACAATAGAGGGAGCTTTTACAGAGAAACACCTGGGAAGGGTCTGAATAGGACAAGGAAGGAACGAGCAAGGAACTTCACTAATTCTGCCAAGGGAAGCATCCACCTCTCTCTACTGCCCTGGGTCAAGGACAAAATGGAGTCATCTACTCAATGTCACTGCCACCGCTTTTCCTCAGCTGTGCCTGTTGCTGTCTCCCTGAAGTGCATGCCAGAACAAGTGCTAGAAGAGTTGTTACCCACTGGACACCTGCATCCCTCCCCACCCCTCAAACTTTGGAAGAGATCTTGCAGCAAAGCCTCCCCCATACCGTATCCTGTTCCAGTGTGAGCCTGTGGCCAGCTCCTGGAGCTGCGCCGTGGTGCCTGATTCCCCAGGGTTTCCAGGAATCACATTTGCTCTTCTGATGCTCCCCTGATGCTCTGCCAATTGCCAGCAGGACAGAGCAAGGGAACAGCGTGTTCGCCTTGGCCCACAGCACCCTCCCTGCATCCTTGCGGGGAGACGCTTGGAAGGCTTCCCACTGGGCCCACGGAGATGGAGCTGCGGAGCTGCTGCCGCCTCCTGCATGCTGTGAATCCCCTGTGAATGCAGCTGCCAGAGGCACAAACAGGGAACACACAACGCAAACAGCTTTAACCTCATGCTTCAGAGGAAAGTTATTCCCAGAAAGGAGAAACTTCGACCATGTTACATAAAGTGCCTCAGGATGCTCAGATGGAAGCAGATAATACACGTCATTTTTATAGTAATGTGTATAGAATGTGTACACATCATATAATGTCTTATAATATATATATTACATTTATATACCACCCAACATCATATCTAGATATGACATTGTACGATGTATGTCATTTATATCACTCTTCCATCTATGTATAGACCAGAGCCAAAAGTATGAAAGCCTCCAAATCCACGTCCTCATCTGCCCAGTATTAGCCTCATGTGCCCAAATGCAAATTTTATTTTAATGAAAAGTTACAATTGATAAAACTAAAATTCCTAGTTTAGAGCCCTACTGGCTTCTCAACCATGCGACCTGTCCCTGGGAAGTACTGCATCCTGGAGCTCCATCATCCTTTAACCTTACCTCATCAACAGTTCTCTGCATCAGAGTTTTCCTCTCCACTATGCACACCTGAGTTGGCAGAAACCTGTTATATAGTGAGACTTTACCATAACTTAACCTTCATAACACTTATTAAATAAAATGAATGAGGACAAGACTAAAGCTTTGAGAGACAAAGCTTCTGAAGGGCCTCAACACGAGTCTTTCATCAGGCATGTTCATGACGATCTGAACCTGGCAAATGCCAAAGAGTTTGAGCCCTGCATGGAAAACACCTGGGAAGCTGGCAGAGGAAGCCAAACAGCAGGCTCCCTGGATTCAAGAAGGAAAGAGGCCTGCAGAGAGATTTTTATTACTGCCTGGTAACATTACAGATTGGTGGGTATGAGTGTCACATCAAAGGGCGAGAGGTAGTCCAGCAATTTCTGGTTTCAAACTGGGGCAGATAATCTTTTTGTTCTTTGTCCTCCTCTCTTGCCTTTTTCCCCCCCCACTTTGAAAGGCATAGGAAATTAGGACAAGAAATCTATTTAGCACTGTTAAAGAGTGTAAAAGCAAACAAACAAGTGGGAGAAAATACCAAAAGATTTACCTGCAGATTGCAACTGCACTGCACAAACACAGCATTTTCTCTCCCTCCTGCTTCCTCACATCTTCCACACATGCTTTTCCAGCTGTGCCTGCCAGTAACGGAGAGCTACATTCCCTGGCAAACCTTGGGGACCTGTGTACCCTCTCTCCTACTGATAACTGGAAGCGGTCCTAGGTAAAATTTCCCACTGATGACCTAGCACAAACTGCCCGATGTTAACAACATGAGATCTGTATCTACTGATCCCTCTCCCTGAGCAGGAGAGGTTTACTGAGTTACTAAACCTCAGATGCAGCCAGCATCACGACTCCGTGTCTGAACTCTTCCAAACTCTGTGAGATATCAAAGTCAGTGCCAAGTTATAACAATGACCTTTCAGGTCTTTATAGGGTCCAGCAGGAACCCTGGACCCAAAACCATCAGAATTATGGGCTCCTTAAAATAAAGGTGCGTATTTCACACTTTGTGTCAGCTCCCTCCTTTTCTATTTGCCCTCTTTTTCTCCTAGTTCAGTGTTCTGTCTCACAGCTGCTATACATTCACCCTAAACACTACAGGCATACATCTTCAACCCTTAAATATACCACAGTCTCTTTCCATATCAGAATTCACCAGTGGGAACCAATGTGCTGAAGGAGACTTTGACTAAGAATTCTCCGGTTGGAGCCCAACTCGGTCACATCTGCTACCATGCTAGTGCAATGAAATCCTTCCCTGGACTCACATTTTCTCAGACAACCTTAAGCTTCTGCTGCTTGTGTCTTGAAGAAGAAACAGAAGTTTGGGAAGGATTTCCTAGATTAGCAAAACCCATCCCTTACTTGTAAGCAACCACATCACCCTTGATATTTACTAAAGAGATCAAAATCAACTAGTCAGTTGCTAGGGTTTTTTTCACTCCCACTGCCCCTGTTGCACCTTTGCTCCTTTCTGCAGACCTCTGACTAAAAGATTTAGGCTTTCAGTATGTCTTAGTACCATTTTGCAGTCACAAAACAAAAAAACAATGCTGATATAAGCCAAGAAATAGCTTATAAATTTGCAAGTAAAGATGCTGTGCCATGTCACTTTCTATGACTTAAAGAGTTTAAAGCATAACTTCATTGCTTTTGTACACTACACTACATTATACTACTAACACACTTTTCAGAATACAATTCATCATACCGGCAGAGTTGTCTTGTCCCACTGATATATAAAAAACTATGTGCTTTATTCTTACTTCTTCAGCCAAAAAGTAGTTTTGAACACCAACACTTATTTTCCTTTCAGAAACATAAACCATATTAAAAAGCAGTGCAACAGACTGCTTAATTAAAATAAAGCAGGACAGCCTCTGGTTGTAGTAGAAATGCCCAACATCCTTACACAACGTACAATCACAATTAGTTGGTTTTCCTTCTTATTGTGTCAGCTAATTAGTTACAGTATCATAGACTACAGCAAGCAATTTATCACGTATTCACCACATTTGGGGTAGGACACCAGCACCATATCCTCTCTTCTGGCTTCCAGGTTCTCGAGGGCTTGGAATGTTTCCGCACTGCACACTGTGACAGGATACGGGGTGCCCTGGTAGGAGAACAGCAAATCCTTCAAGGTGAGCCCTTCAGACTTTGCCAACACTTTATTTATCTCATCAACAAAGGTTTTTTTATCCTCAGCCATGTTTGCCACCTTTGGGGTGTGAAAATGTTAGTATACTGCAGCAAGTGCCTTTAAATAGACATTTTTAAGGGGTGGAGTAGAAATCCTTGGCATCACTTCTGCCCTCCCCTGAATCTGATACATTTCTTTCTCTCCTCCCTTCCCCCCCTTTCTGGAAATGGAAGCTGGGTTGATCCTGTCCACTTACAATCTACAGAGGAGGAATTACTTTAGTCAGAAATCCCATCAAGAGCAAGTAATACTTGCAAGCTCAGCCACCAGGGAAAACAAAATTGGAAAATGAACTACCCTGTAAGAACGAACAGCAGATATTATATCTAATCTTATGTAATGTTAATAGGGAAAAAAAGCATCACATAAAAGAAAGTCTCTAATAATAAAAATCCCAAGAGGTCTTACTTGGCAATAAAGTCACTCCCATACTATGAGTTAAGAAAAACAGATAGCAAATAATAGAAAACAATGAAACCAAACCCATAAACCAGAAAGAACAATACTGAGAGGGAACAGATGCTGCCTTCTTAGGTTCTAAATACCCGCTGTGGGAGCTGGTTTTGCGCTAATGCCCTTTTTCACGTTAAAAAGACAATTAAACATTGAGGCCTCGCATGGTGCAGGTTTTTTCAACGTCCTCATGTA